TTAAGTATTAAAAAGAACTAAATAAAAATTCTCAAGTTGGAAAGTACAACTGAAATGAAACTTCAATAGAGGCTCAACAATATATCTGAGCTAGCAGAAGAAGCAACAAATCTGAAGACAGATCAAAAATCACATTAACCAGTCTAAAGGAAAAATACAAAAAAGAATAAAGAAAAAAATGAACAAAACCAGAGACTATGGAAGGAAAATAACCATACCAACATATACATAATCCCTCAAGCTGAAGGAAAAAGGGAGTGAAGGAAAGAGAAAGAAAGGAAAAGCAGGGAAGAAGGGGCAAAAACTATGTTTGAAGAAATAATGGGGGAAAAAATTACAAAATTTGAAGAAAAACTTTTTTCTACACATCAAAAGCTCAGCAAACTCCACAAACAGGATAAAATCAAAGAGATCCACAATTAGAAATATCAAAATCAAACTGTCAAAAACCAGAGACAAAGAATCATGAGAGAGTCAAGTGACCATTACAGAGGACTCTCCATAAGTATGAATGAAATCCCATCAGAAACTAGAGACCAGAAAGTAGAGGGATAACATAGTCAAGATGTTAAAACATAAAAACTGTCAGCGAAGAGTTCAGTATCTACTAAAAGGTATCTTTTAAAAATAAAGGAGAACTTAACACATTCACCAATAAACAAAAACTGAGAGAACTCAAAATCAGATCTGCCCTATGAAAAATACTATAAAGAATCCTTCAAACTGAAATGGGAGGATCTTACATAGTACCTCTAAGAAATGTGTATCACCGGTAAATGTAACAAGTAAATATAAAAGATAGCATAATTTGTTTGCAACTCTTTTCTTTTTTACCTATTTAAGGAACAACTTCATGAAGCAATAATTATAAAATTGCCTTGATGGGTCTATAATGTACAAAGATGTAATTTGTATGACACTAATAGCACAAAGGAAGTAAGAGGACATGAAACTATATAAAAGCAGAATTACTGTACTCTACTGAAACTAAATAGGTAATAAGCCAGAATATAATGCTATAAAATCAGATATTAACTGTAATCCCAAGGTCAATGCCCCTGCTAGACACACACACACTCTCAAAAGAACATAGCAAAAAAAAAGGGGGGGGGGTTAAGATGGTACATTAAAAACATCAATTTAACAAGAAAAAAATAATTCAGAAAGAGAAAAAAAGGAAAAAATAAACAGAACCAGAGATGCTGATAAAAGATATTTAGAAAAAAAGCAAAATGACAGGTGAAAATCTTACCTTTCAGTACTCACAGAGGATTAAATATTCAATAAAGGCAAATATTGGCTGAATAGATTAAAGACCATGATTCAATTATATGGTACCCACAAGAAACACCTTTTAGAATCACAGACACAACTACCTTGAAGTAAAACGATTTCAAAAATGAAAAGAGAGCTGGAGTGGCTACAACACAAACATTAAGACAAAATTCTTACCACTGACAAGGATACTTAATACTGATTAAAATATCAATTTATCAAGAAGCATAACAATTATAAACATATATGCCTCTAAAAACAAAACCCCAAAATACACAAAGCAAAGACTGACAGAATGAAAGGGAGAAATAAGACAATTCAACAATAATAGCCTGACCTCAATACCTTTCAAAAATGGGTTAAACAACTACAAAGAAGATAAATAAGGAAACAGAAAACCTGAACATAGCAACTAGACTTAACATATGTAGAACATTGCATCTGAAATCAGCAAAATGACATTCTTCTCAAGTGCACATGAAATGTTCTCCAGGAGAGACCATACATTAGACATCTTAGTCACAATTTTAAAGGGCTAAGATCAGCTACTGTGGATATTAATCATCTACAAAAGAAATGAAATTATAAATAACAAAAAGAAACTTGAGGGGCACTTGGGTGGCTCAGTGGGTTGAGCCTCTACCATCCACAGGCATCATCACACTCTCTGCACAGCAGGGAGCCTGCTTTTCCCCCCTCCCTTCTGCCTGCCTCTCTGCCTACTTGTGATCTCTTTCTCTGTCAAATAAATAAATAAAATCTTAAAAAAAAAAAAAAAGGGAAACTTGAAAATTTGACATCTGTGGAAGTTACACTCTGACCAATGGGAAAAGAAGAAATCACAAAGGAGACTATAAAATTTGAGATTAATAATAATACTAATTTTTAAAAAGCACAACATATCAAAACTTACTAAATGCAGCTAATTCAGGGCTTAGAGGAAAAGTTATAGCTGTAAATACCTATGCTAAAGAGAGAAGATCTCAAATCAACTACCAAACCCTTACCTCAAGAAACTAAAAAAAGAGCAAACGATGCAAACCAAACAAAAATAAAGACTAGAGCAGAAGTAAAATATATTTCAAACATAATACAGAAAATGAACCAAACCATAAGTTGGCTCATTGAAAAGAAGTAAATGTGACAAACCTTAGCAAAGACTAATCAAGAAAAAAACCGAAAACTCTCAATAATGAAATTTAGAATGAAAGAGGGCAACTCACTACTAACTTTACAGAAACAAAAAAGATTATAAAGAAACTTTTGAATAAGTGTATGCCAAAAAAGTGGATAACCTCGAGAAATGAAAAAATTCCTACAAAGACACAAACTACCCTAAACTGGCTCAAGAAGAAAAAATCTTAAGTCCTATAAGAAACAAAGAAATTACAGGGGTGCCTGGGTGGCACAGTCAGTTAGGCGTCTGCCATCAGCTCAGGTCATGATCCCAGAGTCCCAGGATCAAGACCTGCATCAGGCTCCCTGCTCAGCAGGGAGTCTGCTTCTCCTTCTGCCCCTTACTCCTCTCTCTCTCTCTCTCAAATAAAATCTTTTTTAAAATAAAAATAAAAATAAATAAATTCATTAGTAACCAAAAACCTTCCCCCAAAGAAAGCCAAGTCCAAATGTTTCCACTAGTGAATTCTATCAAATGTTTAAAGACTGCCCAATCCTTTACAAAGTAATCCAAGAAACAGAAGAGGACAGAAGAGGTAAAACATTGCCCCGTTTTACCCTGATACCAAATCAGACAAACACATCAAAAAACAACAGACAAATGCCCTTTACATACATGCAAAAACCATCAACAAAATACTGGCAAAACAAAACCAGCAATAAAAAAAAAAAAGCATACACCATAACCAGTGGAATTCATCTACTGATTGGTTCTACATATGAAAATTAACCAATGTAATATACCGTATTAACTAACCAACAACAACAAAAACACATGATCAGGTGCCTTTGCCTTGGTGGCTCAGCTGATAAAGCGACTGCCTTCGGCTCATGTCATCATCCTGGAACACCAGGATGGAGTCCCACATCAGGCTCCCTGCTCAGTAGAGAGTCTGCTTCTCCCTCTGACCCTCCCTCCATCATGCTCTCTCTCTCTTAAATAAATAAAATCTTAAAAAAAGAAAAAAAAAACACATGATCATCTCCAATAGACACAGAAAAAGCACTTGACCAAAAATCCAACACTCTTTCAAGATAAACACACTTAACAAGGCATAAAAAGGGAACTTCCTCAAGCTCATAGAGTGTATCTAAGAAAAACCCAGAGCTAACATCATACTGAGTGGTGAAAGACTAAATGCTTTCACTTTTCAGGAACAAGACAATGATGTCTAGTGCCATTTCTACTCAACACTGTTCTCAAGGTTCAAGCCAAGGTACTCAGCAAGAAAAAGATATAAAAGGCAACCAAACCGGAAAGAAGTAAAACTATCTCTATTCACAGATAACATGATCTTATAAATAAAATACCTTAGTGAATCCACTAAAACACACACCCACACAACACAAACTAATAGTTGTAGGAAACAAGATCAACAAAAACTTACTATATTTCTATATGCAAGCAAGAAGCAACAGAAAATGAAACTAAAAAAAAATCATTTGTAATACCATAAAAAAATACTTAAGAATAAACCTAATAAAAGAGCAAATACTGTACACTGAATACTATGAAACACTGGTCAAAAAACCTAAAGATTAAGCAAATGAAAGCTATTCTGCATTCATAGATTAGAAGACAATTTTGTTCAGATGGCAAAACTCCCCAAATTGATACAGAAAGCCATGTGTATCAAGGTCCCAGTTGGCTTCTTTGCAAAAACTAACAATAATCTCTAAGTCATGTGGAAATTCAAGAGACAAATACCCAAACAATCTTGAAACCATACAAAGCTAGAGGAGTCACACTTCCTAGTCTCAAAACTCATTTACAAAGTTATAGTCCTCAAAACAGTGTAGTACAACCATGAGGAGAGATGTACAAATCAATGGTGGAAATACACCCTTACATTTTATGGTCAACTATTCTACAAGGTTGCCAAGACAACTTAATAGAAAAGTTTTTTTTTCAATAAAAGATGCTAGGACTATTGGATATTTATATACAAAAGAAAGAAAATGGGTACCCACCTCACAGAATGTACAAAAGTAAATTCAAAATGGATTAAAGACCTAAATATTTATAAGATCTAGATCTATAAAACTCTTAGAAGGAAACAATGGTAAATCTTCATGATCTTGAATTAGGAATGGCTTCTTGAATATGACACCAAAAATAACAGCAATAAAAAAAGGTAAACTGGACTTGATCAAAATTTAAGAAGTGCTTCAGAGAATACTGTCAAGAAAGTGAAGACAACCCAAGGAATGGCAGAAAACATTTGTAAATCATCTATCCAGTCTATTCTGGACTTATATCCAGAACATGTAAGGAATTCTTACAACTAAATAAAAAGGCAAATAACCTGATTAAAAATTGAGTAAAGCACTCAAACAGACATTCTTCCAAAGAAGATTTATAGAAGTTGCCAGTAAACACACAAGAAGATGCTTAACATCATTAGTCATTAGAGAAATATAAAATAAAACCACAACGACAGCACCTCATAGCTACTAAGATAATTTAAAAAGACAAACAATGTCAAGTGTAGACTGATGTGAAGAAACCGAAACCCTCATACATTGCTGGTGGGAATGTAATATACCACAGCTACTTTGGCAAAGAGTCTGATAGTTCTTCAGAAAATTAACATACAGTTATCCTTTGATCCAGCAATTCCACTCCTAGGTATACATCCAAGAAAACCAAAAGCATAAGTCCACACAAAAACTTGTACTTAAATGTGTACAACAGCATTTTTCACAATAGCCAAAAAGTAGAAAGAACACAAACAGCCACCAACAGGTGAATGGATAAACAAAATGTAGTGTTATCAAAATAATGAAATATTGTTCAACAATAAAAAGGAACAAAGTACTAATATATACTATAACATGGATGCATCTTGAAAAGCGAAAGAAGCTAGTCATAAAATATCAAATACTGTATGATTCCACTTATATGAAATGCTCACAACAGGCAAATCTATAGAGATGAAAAACAGATTAGTGGTTGCCAAGACCTACGAAGCAGAGGGAGCAGAGCAACAGTAGACAGGGTTTCCTTCTGAGCTGATGAAAATATCCTAAAACTAAAAACTGGGATGGCTCTATGAATATAACAAAAACAACAGAACTGTACAATTTAAAGGGGCAAATTCTATGGCGCATGTGAATTACATCTCAAAAAGCTGTTATAAAAGCAGGTATGTAGTATCTACAATACATTACCTTTCACATATAGCTTGAGTATTTCCTTTCTTACACATACATCATTTGTGTAAAAAGACAGGAAGACACTAAACCAGAAACTATTGACATTGGTTACCCACAAAGATGGGTGGAAAAGTGACAAGAAGGGGGATGGAGAATAGAGTAAGAGATCAAAGCTGGGATGGATACTTCTGGACATACTGTTTTATAGCGCTGACTGTTGACACCATAGTAATGTTTCACATATCCCAATAAAAAATAACCCAAATCAGCCAAGATGTGAAAAGAGTTCAAAAGGGACTTGAAACAATTAACAAATGAAACAAACTGTATTTCAAGTGAATAACATAACTCCACTGAACATGGTAAGGAAGAAAGACCACAATTAACTTTGGAAAACAGTATTTTGACTGGATAGTTTAAAAACAAAAAAAAAGTATACACAAATACTACTCTAGTAAGTATATCTGTAACAGCAATCCCAAAACTACAGTTATATATATACCAGAATTAGCAAATATGTAATAAATTGTGGATGAGAGCCAGGTTGTTCACTGTTGGAGAAGGGAATCACAAGTACAGGGAAAAAAGAGGCTAGACTGAACCTAGTGTTAGTGTAGGGTTTCTGGAACCTGAAGACAAACTATCAGATTCGCTCAGAACTATAAAAGAATTGGTTTATCAGTATGAATTCATGGTTTTTAGTATACATATACATACAAATATGGATGTATAAATATATATAAATATACAATTTCCTAGATCTATCTGCTCCAAACACCTAGAAGCAATGACACCCTAATAGTGATGAATACTTCCAGTCCTCAAATCTTGGTTTCTAAATACTATTCTCAAATAAAAGAAACTTGGTACTCTTTGGAAAAATGATTGATTCCAGGACTTAGGCAGGAAAAATACAAGATGAACCAGAAAGAAAGAAAGTGCTCCCAAAAACTGATAAGGCATGTTGAAAGGATGAATGGGAGCCAAATTGAAAGAGCCCCCAATGGTCACATCCAGGACAATGAGCAACACAACTGATAAAGTTAATTTTATATGCCCATACCAATATAAATAAATAACTGAATAAATGAACATGAGACACAATAGCTCTTTCTTACAAAAGAATTTTTTTTTAAGATTTTATTTATTTGACAGAGATCACAAGTAGGCAGAGAAGCAGACAGAGAGAAAGGGGGAAGCAGGCTCCTCACTGAGCAGAGAGCCCAATGCGGGATTCGATCCCAGGACCCCGGGACCATGACCCAAGCAGAAGGCAGAGGCTTTAACCCACTGAGCCACGGAGGCGCCCCTTACAAAAGAATTCTAATTTAAAAATGTAGATAACAGAAACAGAAAATCATATTAAAGCTAATAGCACAGTAGTAGTAACTGTGACAGGCAAAAATTGACAATGGACAAAAAGTACAATGAGAAATACATTATTTGAATAGTTCAACAAAGGACTAGTCTCTAAAATATGCAACTCAGTAAGACAAACAGCCCAACTTCAAAATGGACAAGACTTCCAAAAACCTATGGATTACAAATAAGCACATGACCCTCAAAATTATGAGTCAGTAGGAAAATGCAAATTATAATCACAATGAAGTATTTCCAATTTTACTAGAGTGACCAAAATTAATAAGTGACCATCCCAAGTGTTGCTGAGTATTTAAAGCAACTGTTCTTATGTACTACTGATAGGAATATAAAATGTTACAACTAAGGTGGTAAACAGTTTGGCAATTTCTTTAAAAGTTAAGCACAGATCTACCAATGACTTAGCCTAAGTATTTACCCAAAAGAATTGTAATCATGTGCCACCATCAATATAGCTTTTTTAAAAGTTACAAAGAAAAAAAGCCAAAAAGAAAATATATCCAAATTTCAACATAGGTTGTATTTTGCTAATGGGACTTAGAAGTAACTTGGTTTTATACTACCTTCTATTTTCCAAGTTATTACTGAAGAACTTAAAGCATTTCCATTAAAACAAAAAACTAAAGGATCACATAGATAGAAAAGGAAGTAATGTTGACCACAAGACAGTATGCATTTTTATTTTTTATAGGTAAGTCAAATGTTTTTTTTTTTATTTTCCATTTCTGACAAGTTTATTAGAATGCAAAGGAAGAAATTATAGGAAATAATTCTTGCAAGTTTTCAATCATGATGTGAACTTGAGCAAGGCAGAGAAACAAAGTCTGGAATACTAATAAAATAAGGTGGATTAATAGCTGATTAGAAGTATGTCAACTCAGCATAATTATACACCACAAGGATCCATCCTTAATTAAGCCCAGATAACATTATTCTACCCCTGGATGAAATCATAATGCTAACAGTTGTTAGCATTATGATATGCATATGATAAAAACTGAAAAAGATACCAAATACTTTATATGACACACTCAAAATCCAAATGAAGTATAATATGACAATATGTGTATACAAACCATGTCCTTTTTCACCACCCTGAACTGAAATCTAAAGACAAAGCCTCAGATTAGTTCAGAACTATAAAATGGGACTGCAAAAATAAGAAGTCAGTGGTGGAACACTTTTCACCTCTCAATCAACAAGCTCCTCTTAAAAAAAAAAAAAAAAAATGTGCTGAAGAAGCAAGATAAAACAGCAGCTCAGGAGAAAAACGTAGAAAATCTTAATTGACATGCTCCATAAGTCAGTAAGAAATTAAAAGTCACCCTAAAAGGTAGTTTAACTCATTAACAGTTTATACAGCAAGTACAAGACAAAGATAGATTTATTCTGATCTATAATTTTAAGATCAAAAGATATACAGTTCCTGGTGTCAGCAGGGATATGTACCAAATGGAGACAGTTCAGAGGGGAGTAACAACAATGGTTGGAGGGATATAAGCCCCTGTCATAAAGAAAATGTAAAGACTAAAAGTCTCTACAATAAAGACTCAGAGAAAGTTGTGTTCAGACTATTAAGTAGTAATATTAAAAAGAGAAGTTAGACTTATTTTTTTAGTCTCGAGGAGTAAATGAGAACGTCTGAATACAAATATAAAAGACAGACTTCAGATATATATACAAATAGGAAAAAAACAATTAATGGTCTCAGCAATTCAAAGATGAAATGTGCTTCCTCCGAAGGCAGTGAGTTTCTAACACAGGCTAAATAAGCTCCATCCATTAGAAATACAACACAAGCCACATATGCAATTTTAAATTTTCCAGTAGCCACATTTAAAAAAAGAAAAGGAAAAAAGTAAAATTAATTGTAATAATATTTTCTTTAACTCAGTATACTCAAAACACATTTCAACATACAATCAATACAAAAATAAGACACTTTATACTCTTTTTTTCAAAGTAAGTCTTTTCAAAATCCTCTGTGTATTTTACCTTTATATCAAATCTCAATTCAGATTAGACACATTTTAAGTGCTCAGCAGCCATGTATATTCATGGCTACAAAATTGGACAGGGCAGTGTAAGACAGCCACTTGACAGGTATGCTGCAGAGCAAATTAGAGCACTTTCTGCATAATTAGATAAGCAACTTGATACATCTTCCAATCCTAAGATCTTGTAAAAATATCAAAAGAATAACAGAAGTATCAAGAACATAATCAAAATTTTCATAGGATTAACTTTACTCCATTTTAATCAGTCACTACTGTGCTTTGTACACTCATGACAGACGTACACACACACACACACACAAACTCTGTATTTTACTAGAATTCACTCTGAACACAACACAGCAATTTCATTAAAGAATTCAAATTATTTCAGTATCTCTCTCCCAAACTAGCTTCTTAAAAGACATCAAAGACATTTCTCCTCAGAATATCAAATGCCATGACTCACAAAATGTTTAACTGATACTCATCCTAGTATTGCCTACCTAATGAAAAGAAATCAATAAAAATATTATCCATTTTATAAAAATTTTTCTATAGCTTATCTACATTACAAACCATATAGGAAAATAGAAAATCGATTCATCTTATGGATTCTATTGTGTTAGTATGTTGAAGCTCTAAAGAGGATGTGACTGTATTTGAAGATAAGGCATTTAAAGAAGTAATTGAGGTTAAAGGAGGAGGTCCTTACAGCAGAGCCTCAATCACATCCAACCGCTGCCCTTAAAAAAAGAGGAAGAGACACGTAAGGCATCTCACTCTCTCTCCATGAACAAAGGAAATGCCATGTGTGAGGACACACTAAGAAGGCAGCTGTCTACAAGCCAGGAAGAACTTTCACAAGACACCAAACCTGATCACACCCTGACCTTGGACTTCAAGCCTCCAGAACTGTGAGAAAATAAAAGTCTGTTGTTTGAGCCACCCAATCTGTGATATTCACCCAATCTGTGGTATGACAGCCCCAGCAGAGTAATATAGTTTCTAAGAAAGTACTTTC